GGCCTAGTAGCTCATTAATTATGTATGAGTTTTTTAAGGTAGTCAAGCCTTTGCATCAAAGTGAATTGAGCAGTTGAACCTGCAGTGATTAATACCTGTGAATTATAATATTGTATTAGGTGTGAATAAAAGACATCTGTCACTACACTCAACCCTTGTCTCACTTTGATGCAAAAGCTTGGCTACCTGTCAAGATGGCTCTTGGAACTGTAAATGAAGTACTTCTGTAACACAATTATCATAATCATTATAATAATATCCATTCAGGGATGCTTGTAGCAAGATATGTAACTACACTTACACTCAAAGGGATGCATTTGTCATGTCAATCATCTTGGCAATGATTGTAGCTCTTCAATAAAATTGTGTATAAAATAATGTAATTATAGCTTATCATTTTTTATCATGACAGTTTCTGCTACTGCCTTCTACAAGTGTCAGCCTGTAATAGATTTTCTCAAAGAGGTTCTTCGTAAGAATGACAATGACCTAGCAAGACATCAATTACTTAGTGACTCAGAGAGGCTAAGATTTACCAAAGAAATAAAAGGTGAGTCTATTGATTGTGGAGATTGTTTTTCAACTCACAAATAAGTAGACAGCAAATTGGTTGCAATTTTCTTGTTGTTTTAGCAAAATGCTTTGTAGACTTTCACAAAGTCCATTTTCTGTTCACGCTTCGTGTTAAATATTCACCCTTTCCTGGGCGTAAAAGAGAGTCCGACTGCTCGCTTCTCGTGCTCCGTACTCGACCATTGCACTTCGCGCTCAATATTCACCCTTTCCTGGGAGTAAAAGAGAGTCCGACGTGGGGAAGAAGTCTAAATGCTTTTTTCATGTTCCAGTTATCTTACTGGCTGTAATAATGAATTTGTATTTGCTACATGATGTTTTTTTGGAAGAGGAAGAAAATTTTCAGACTTTTATAATTAAATACAGTGTATTTGACAAAAAATTGAACAATTTTCTTCATAAATTTCCTGGACCTGGAAATACCAAGTTTTGCCAAACTTCCTTAATCAATGATTGTTAACTAATAATAATATGGCAATAATGGTGATTAATGTATTAATATTAATCAGTGATGTTTATTAATCAGTAATAATTCTTGCTTCAAAGGACTCAAAGTAGAGATCAATTACTGTGGTACAATGAAGAGAAAGTACAGAGTTATCAGTGTTACCAAACAGCCTGCAAATGCATTGCAGTTCATGCTACAAACAGAAAGTGGGCAAAGTAGACAAATCAC